GAGGAGCTGACATTACAGAGGCATGCCCCTGAAGTAAGCTCAAAACTATGTTCTAATAAGCAAGTAACCACATGGTTTGAAAAAACTCCAATTTTCATGGACTTAGCCTATTGCCAAGCAAGCAGCCCTCAGGCTTTGGCATCCTGAGATGTATTCCAATCGTATGCTCAGCATTTGGTATTTCTGTGCCTTTACTGTTCAAAATACCAGCTCCACTCATGAGTTAAAGGAGGTACAGAACTTGGTAATTTTCATATGAAAATTGTTCCTTTTTTAGTGGTACAGAGCAGAATTAGGCATTTATTCTCTAAGCCTTGTGCTTTCCTCTACATTTTATCAAATGTTGATTGTTTAGAAGAACAGGTTAGAAAATTACTGCTGTGAGGTTCAATATTATAATTTTTCAATTTAATTATTTTATTCAATCATACACATGTTTATGGATGAGTAAAGCAAATGATAGCAATGATACAAGGAACAGGGACAGGAATTAGGATCATTCTATTAATACAAGGTACTCAAAATACTCATTAAGTGGTATGGTGTTATTTGAAAGGGCACTTGGGTTGATTGCAATTGTACTAATTTAAACTCTAAGGTAAAGATTTAAAAAGAAAAAAAGAGCACAATTGATATGCTGAGCAAGGAAAGACAATAGTATCAGATAAAATGTTCAATTCAAACTACAAAAGCCAAAAAATATAACTAAAATCTTCATTCACAGTAGCACCCAAAATCTAAAACTAACCATAAACTTAGTAAGAAATACATAAAACAAAAATGAAGATAGCAACACAGCACAACAAAAGAGAACTGACTCAAGAGAAAGAAAGGACAGGCTTCTGAATAGAGAGAGTATTTTAAAAATTTTAGATCTTAAATTAATCTATATACTACTTTACAGATAGTATTATAAATTAGTATAATATTTAATATGGAATTTTAATCTACTGATTCTATTCAAGGAATTTATCTTGCAAAATAATTAGATATGTATCTGGTAAAGATGTTTGGAAACAGTGTACAGTACCTGTACACAAAAGTGAGATGATACCATACAGCAAAAGTTAGGAAGATAATTAGAAAGAATTCACATGAATACATTGATGTAGAAAAATGTGTATCACACACTCAGTAGGAAAAGATTGGACCTAAACTTGATAATTACATCTTTTTTAGAAAAAAAAGAAAAAGGAAAAAGAACTTAATAGTATACAAAATATCAGTGATTACTTCTGGGTAATATATTTTGAATTATTTTATTATTTTAAATCTTATTTCTGCTTGTTTGTGCTTTCCAATTTTACTACAATTGATATGTATTAATCACACATTAGAAAAATTTATAAAAGTCATGCAAATATATTTTGCTGCACTTATGTGGCTGTCATTAAAAAGGAAACTGAAGTAACTTGTTTTTTTCTGTTTACACCTTCCTTGGAACCTTAGACTAGTCAAATGAATTACAGACTTTTCCTTTCAGATGATTGCTATTGTCTGTGAGGTAAACAAAGACCTTTTGAAAAGTAAAAAGCAAGAACAAAAACATGAACTTTATGTTCATTTCATAACATGTAACACACACCAGGAAGTAACCTCCAAACACCCAAATTTAGTTTTTTAACTTATTGGTACTATGACCTTAAAAAAGTCACTAACCATTCTGATATGCCATCTTTTTGCTTTATTTGAAATACGAATAAAAATATACAATATATTCAGTTTATAAGAATGTCTTGAAAACCAGGTGAAACAAAGGGTCTTCAAATTTTTTTTGTTTTTGTTTTTAAGTCAGTAAGGAGCTAGAAAGACAAGAGACATTAACCTTAGACTTTTGGTTTTTGTTTTTTCTTCCCTCTTGTACTTTTCTTGTCTATTACACATTTCTTGTGTTTTTAGATCTGTCATAAGCCTTATATTTTCAAAGTAAATGCATCTTAAATCCTAGGAGGACGAGCTGCCCAAACAACATCATTCCTGTTATTAATAGCCCAAGATAGACTTAAGCATTGAAGACTCATTCAGTGGTCCCTTTCTGACTACCCACAGAGTTGGCTTTGAGGCTCCAGCTGTAGCATGGCACAAGATAAAATGAAATGAAAGGCGTACATGTATCAAGATGCTTTTCCCTTTTGCATTTCTAAAGATGCCAAATGCTTATGCCCAATTTAGGCAAACACAATAGTAATTGTTTACATGGTATAAAGGTAAACACTCAAGAAGAAAGTAACTTGATGCTTTTACTCAGCATGATATAAACCATTATCTCATGTTTTCTATGGAAAACAGTCTCAGCCTAGAAATTTGGTAGCTCAGTAGGCTATTAATAGCATGTGGAATGTGATTACTCCTTTTGGATTACTTCAATATGTAATTACATTTAGGAGCTAGCAGAAAGAAACTCTATTAAATGATAATTATAGGACTGTATTTGCTTTAAGATTTTGTAATAGCTCTAAACATGGGAGTTTTCATTAACTGTTTGCCATAGTTACTAAAGTATTTTTTCTTAAAAAGTAGCAATTCTCTGCTAAACTGGTAGCTCAATAGTACAGTTAGTCTCCTACAGAAAAAGTGGAGGAAATGGACAGGGTAGACAGTTAGCTTTTCCTAAGTGATATAATCTCCATGAAAATGCAGATGACATTCGAGAAGTACTACGACAAACACCCCCTACACAATAGGGCTTAATGTAATGTTTATAAAGATATCAGTAACCCAACATGATACACATATAAAAAGGCCAGGGAAGTTGGTGGACAACTGGGCACAGAGAGTAAAGCATGAAACAGCTGGCTGTTTGCAAAAAGCATCTCATGATAATCAGGAACTAGATGTCAAGGGTAAGTTGGGTCAACATCAACCCACACAGAAAAACTGGATCACAGATATTTCAGAAAACGGCCTGGGCAGCACAGCGAGACACTGTCTCAGTTAATTACTTAAAATAAGGGTCCATAGAAAGCAACACAGAGAGCATGTGAGATCTACAGAATTTTCTGGATAACTAAGCAATCCTCCTCATTGATCAAGGTGCACTCACTATGAAACATGTTCTAAGAAGCATTTCATCATCATAAAACTGACACAAACTGATGCTGGAAAAACAGAGCAAATTGCCAATCTCAGGTAGAGCTGAAAACTAATTTGAGGTGATAGAATATTCTAAGAGTGGCGGCAGAAACTTTTATGAACCCAAGTGCACAGGTACCTTAGAAAGCTTTATGAAAACTCTATTCATGTTACCTACTTCAGTTCAGATCATTACACATTCATTAAATGCTGAACACATGTCGGAGTTTTTCAATTTTGGGAAAACCTATCATTACAAAAGAAAATTCCTCTATTACATCTGAGTAACCCCCAAAGTGTTTGCAGGAGTGCTGTGTGTTCCCACTTAGCTTAGTGCTTGGCAGAATCATCATTTTAAAGGGCCTGCATCACCTGTTCACATGAACCAATTCAACAAGGAAAAGAAAACTCCTAGCTTGTGTGTGAAACTAAAGAATGATAAATAACATTTCTGTCTCAAAATGAAGGAAATAATTTATGAGGCACACCATGAGTTGTTCTCCAAGGCTGCTTTTAAAACACGTGTCTCTGCACGTACAACTTCCTTCTCACCTTGGTGCTTAAGAGCAAGTTCACTGTGGAAAGCAATGCACCTGGAGAGAAAAGTCTCTGTCGTGAAACTTAGGACATTTTAACTGTCTCATTTGTTATGTATTTGATTTATAAGGCCCATGATTAAAAGTTCAAATCAGTTCAAGAAATTTAAAGGAAGTGTGTCAATTCATATTCTTTCAAAATTCTAGTAGCTTAGGGTGCACTTGTCTGCTTTAATCAATGTGACAAGAAAGTTAAGGGAATGGCCTTGCAATAAATAAGTACCTGGGCTTAAAACTCAGCTCTAGATTCTATTTTATTGAATAATTTTGGGAAAGTTAAAAAATAGTTCTGTGCATCACTTTCTCATCTGTAAAATGGAACTACCAATAATGCCTACCTCTAGTGTGAAGAGAATTAAGTGAACAGAGGTGTGAAGGTCTTGACATGGTGCTTGGAGCAAAACTATCTGCATAATGGTGTTGATGACAGTGACACCAGATACCAGAGAAAGCGTAATATTTGTTTTGTTAAAGATCTTGCTCAATCACCCAGAAAGCAACCTTGGGCAGTTGGAACGAAAGAAAACTTCCATGTTCACAGCTGCCACCTTTCACTCGTATGCTACACAATGCCACTGGCTCCCTTCTTTCACAGATCTGTATCGTCCAGGTTTATATGCACAGTGTTCATTAAGAAGTAACACAGAGAAAACCAGCCTGGCTGAGTTGAAAAGTTTATTTTTTCTCCCAGGCCTTGCCACCAACTTTCCACAGGGTCTGTAACATCTGTGCACAACAATATCATCTTCTACTATTAATAACTTACAAATCTAGAACTCACTTGAATGACACAATGATATGCAACAATCATGTCACATTTGACTATATTTCCAGTTAACAAACTGCTGTATCCCATCTCTTCACCTTTAAGTAGCAAGCTCTATATCCAACTACACTACATTATAACTGTGCTTTGGCGAGGAAGTCCTGTGCTTGAAAGATTATATTGCCTTGCAAAGTTGAACTAATTTCTTTTAATGCTTTACTTGATATCAATATTCATAAAGCCATGCTTCTCCCCAAGGGTATATCAACCTCTTAAAAAATGGAGTTGTTTGCATATTGAACCTGTAAGCTTCCCTATTTGGCATTCCCACTGCTTCATGAATATCAAAACCAATGAAAAAGGAACATAAAATTAGACTCACTTGTTCATATGCATCAAATGAGCCCATGTGTCAAAATAGAGGTGGCGTTATTATTTCTTGTTTGTGCTTCAACAGGAAAGCATTATGAAGATTAGTGACAATATTTGCGCTGTGTAATATAAAAGCCATTTGTTTTCTACTTCTACTTCTCCGAATGAGAATGAATAGAAACCTGAGTACAAACCTCTGTTGTCTCTGACTGTGAAATTTGGATTGTGAATGATTTCAGGGGGTAGGCTGAAGATAAATCTTGGTCCATTGGCAGTGTCATCCTTGTCTTCTGCGCTAATTGTAACAATTGGCTGAAAGAGAAAGGTTGTCTGCAAATAAATCATGATGACATTGGCATATCATTTATTCAAAAATACCTGGATAGTTAAATGCCAGGTTTTAATTAGAGAATATAGCTTCAGAGCAAAACCAGGTCTAGAAAATCTCCTTGGTCAACAGAAAGATACTTCCCCCTCCTCAAAATACTTCCTCCCCTCCTCAAAAACAAATTCCAGTCATCAATTTCTCACTTTTAACCAGAGAAAGAGAGAGCAGCATTACCTGGTTGGAAAGGGGTTTGATCTGATCACTCTCACAGATGAAGCCTTCATAGGGGGCAGCAAACTTGGGAGCATTATCGTTGACATCAAGCACTCTAATGGCCACTGGGACTTTGGTTTCCTGATCTCGGTTGTCTGAGAAGAGAGAATGCAGACAGTAAACAAATACCGGGTAAAAACTACACATTTCTCCCTATTCACTCTTGGGAAAGAGTAAGCTTTAACCTACTCTTTCAGGCAGTTCAGGGAAACGCATTGTTGGCACAAAGTCCATCTAGGAGCTAAAGTATGTTCAATTTAGTGGAAGAAAGATGACATGAATAAACATAAACTAGAACAGTAAGAACTAAATCACTCATCCACTTCTGCTCACAACGATGGTGAACTTGCTTTTTGAACACTAATAATAGAACCTGGACATTCTGGAACCTACTCTATCACAGTGGTTCTCAAAATAGGACCTTTACAGGAGCATCAAAACTATCTGGGAATGAGATGGATGTACAAAGTATTGGGACAGATGCCAGATCTACTGAATCAGAGACACCAGCATGGAGTCCAGAAACACTGATTACGATAAGCTATGTATGAGATAAATGGAGGGCTTAGTGCATGATTAGGTTTGAGAAATACTGCTCTATAAGTAAATAAAAATCTGCAGCTCTCGCCTCTATAGCTTTTGCTTTGAGTTTAAAGGGATGATCATGCATTTTAAACTGCTGAGGGCTATCAGCTATTTTGCCAAGTCTGTATCAAATTCTGCCAAAGAAAATGAAATGATCACTATTTGCCTTTGTATTGCTAAATATCTGAACATAAATTTTAAATATAAAACAAAAACAAAAACAAACAACCAAAAAGTCCTTGAGACTTTAAAGAAATCCCTCTTCAACTATTTTGTTTCCCAGAATATAGAAAAATCTGAAGGATTATTTGGTAAAGTAAAATCAAAACCCTTAGAAGACTTACGGATTTCTGCTGCAAAGACAGAGATGTTGAGCCAGGCGGTTTCTTCTCTATCCAGAGGTTTTGTGGTTTTAATAAAACCATCCTCTAGATTAATAGTGAAAAACCTGTCGAGGTCAGTGTGACGATCAATTGAATACCTAAGCCGAATGCAAATGAGGCAATTAGACCAAGATATTCAGAGCAGTTTAATATCTGAGTACTTTCTCTATGTTATGTTTAAAGCAACTTTTGCAGTGAATTGCTGGAGCACAGTTTTCTTTTTAATCAAATTTACTTTTCAACTTTATCCATGAATCTTTTATAGAAATCATTTTGCAACATAGGAATACTTTATTCAGTACAATGAAAAAAAACTGCTTAGCATATTTGATTGAGAAGTATAATAATGTGTCGCATATTTCTCCATATTTACTACAGTCACCCACATCTGAATATTTATGAAATTGCATTTGGGAAGTGAGTTTGCCTTGCTCCCAAACAACTCAGAAAGTCACAAATATACTAAAGCTTTGCCAAATTTTTGCATATGAAGTTTTAAATAGTTTTAAGGATATCTAAATTCATCATCAATGATTATTTATAAACCAGAAATTCAGTTTTCTCTCTATATGAAGAAAAACATTAGCTGTAGTTTCAGTGAGTCTCTTTAGTTTGTTAAGTTACACTGATACTCAAGTAACTTGATTCTGAATTCCAGTATCAGTACACCAATCAGCACTGGCCCTGAATTTTCAGGTCATTCTTTCTAGACTTTACTGATTACACACTATACCTAACAACACAACTGGAACACAACAATACTCTGAGGCATTAGAAAGTTTATCTTTTCCTAACAAAAGACAGAGTTTTCTAGAATATTACTGGGGTACATGTATAGCAAGGTTAAATGGGAGATGGTGAAGGAAGAATGGCTTATATGGAGGTACAGCAAGGTAAAGCCACCTCTCAGAGACTCAGAGTTGGTAACTATTGCAGCTCTAGTTTTAATTGCTGTTGAGCTCTAAAACCCTTTCCCTTTTCACTACACCCTACCATTACCCAGATGGAAAGCAAGAAAGATGGGCTGGGTTAATTTAGTAGAGTGCTGAGCTTCATAATTGACTGGCTTCCTGCTCCTAGAGATCATAACTGGGTTTTGCTCAGCCAGAATACCTATGTCTTACAAAACTCATGTAGTTTGATTATTGATGATGAAAAACTAAAGATTGTGAGAGGCAAAAAAGACCATGGGTATCAGAGGATTTACTCTTTTATATTAAAAAGGTGAGATTTACAAATGTCCTATCTCTAGTTTCCAAATGAGTCAAAGTTGAAGCTGAGATCATCCAACTCTAAACAGCATTCTTTAGAAATAGAAAGAATAGAAATAGAATAGAAGTAGAAAAGAGAGACTACCTACTAAGCAGTATAGAAAAAAGTATACTTCACAGTATACCAAACAAGAGCTCATCCATGATGACCTTTGACTTCAAAGTTTCTCATGGAATTTAATGATGAGCCTCCTTCCCCACTGGTAAAACTAAATATGGTCATACGTCTCATAAATGTCAGCAGTGACTCCAGTTCTCATCAGCAAGCACTGTGTGAGAAAAATTTAGACATACTTCCTGCCACCAGGGAACTTACAATTTAACTGCCATGACAACATATTGAAAGGAACATAGTAAGTAAAGACATTGTTTAATATCATTGAAGAGCTTGGGTTTTGCTTTTGGAAAATCCTAGACACAATTCATGACCCACCAAATATAAACTGAATGACATACCATTGGAGAAATCCACTGATATCTTTGAACTTAGGTTTTATCTTTTAAACTAGAATGTTAAGTGTTATTGCCTTGTGTTTTCTTGTGTGTATTGTCTCAGCACATTTACCTTTTAAACTGGAAGATTAATAATGCCCAGTTCTCATCTTTAAAAATTACATGAAATTGCAGATGTGCATGATACATTCTCATGCTTCACACACAAGCAGAAATACAACCAACAGGAGTTGCTGTTGTTTGCATTGTTGCTGGAACTGTTTTGAGGACAGATTCCATAAGTTCTCAAAAGTCAGAATGGGACCATCCTATAGCCACTGAGAAATTATGGAGGGCTTTTAAAAGTGGAAACAAATAAGTGACATCCAGGCATCTAGATGTTAATGAGGTAAGTTGAGGAAGATGACCTCTGCAAGAGAGAGTAAAGAAAGAAAAAATTTAGGCTATGATAAGAAAGTTGACTAAGATTTTGGAGTGACTGAGAGAATCAGTAGGACCCAATGCATATTTTGCTCTTTGAGGGAGACTGGGAAACTTGCACAGGGCTTCCAACCTGAGTGCCTGAAAGGGAGATATTAAGGGAAACAATAAGAATTCAGCAGAAAAGAGGGGCTGAAATTCAACCAAAGGTAGCCTGAAATACTATGAGAGCAAAGATTCTGTAATAGGCAGAATTTAATTAGCTGTTTGTAATTTTTAAGTCACAATAAGTGTAAGTTCAAATTATCTTTTGAATTAATGGGTAAAGCAGTAAAGGAAAAGTAATTTGGTAAAAATACATAACAGACACTAAGATAAGAATAGAATTAGAATCAGGGAGAAAAATCTTCCTAGAGGCAGAGAACATAGGGTATCAACCGAGTCTAATCATAGCATGAAAGAAAATCCTATAGGTTAGTGGTCATAAGAAGAGAAAGGTCAAAATAAGTCAAAAAGCTGAGCCTTAGGGAGTCCTCAGTGCCTGAACAATGATCAAAGACACCAGATACAGATTTTCTGAGGCATGAATAAATGAGTGCCGAGAAAGCTAAGACAAGTACTTATTTCAGGGAGATAATACTAAACAAAAATATGTCTAATGCTGCAGAAGCTGAGAAAATGAAAAGATCTGAAAAGGTCCAAATAGCCAGAAGCTTAACTAGTACTGTAAGGTCTTGCCTATGTGCCCAAGTTCACAAATCCTCTAAAGATGAAAAGAGATAGCCAGGAAATTAGATTGTGAGGATAGCAAGCCCTCTGAATAAAAATAAATAAATAAATAAATAAATAAATAAATAAATAAATAATAAAAAACTTGAATGTTCCTTTATAAACTGTCTGACAATTCTAAAATCAAAAACAAAAGTTGATGTGGTGGGAGGTTGGCTCAGGTTCAATATTGAGCATCTTGGATAATTATAGATATGGAAATTGCTTACATGCATAGAAGAGCTACCACTGAGAATGCAACCCCATCACCAAGTGCAGATGTGACTCCTTGCAGACAGTGCACGGGAAATGAAGAGCTGTTTCCTGTGCTTTTGTTTCATTGTTATTCTAAAATAACCAATGTACCTCAGTGTTTGAAATCAAAGATAACTCATCTAAAATTCATATCATGAACATTTTTAAATTTAGTTTGAAGGTGTTACAAGGATTCCCAGGCATTATTTAAGGTATCTTCCTGAGTAGAAAGAGCACGACAGACAAACTTTCTGGGTAAATCTCACTATTCATGGCCAAGGGATAAAAGTAAAAAGCTCAGAAATGTCACAGGCAAACTTTCATAAAATCTAGCCTCTAACACTTGCTGTTTGATTTTAGGAAATCATATCATCCATAAAATCCTGGAATTCTCATCTATCGGTTCATGCATCAGTCATGGACTTAAAAGATGTCCAAGAATATTAACTGAAATAATTGATGAAACATGGTCTGGTAGTGAGAAGATATTTTGAAAATGGTAACTCTATAAGAATGTTGTTCAAAAATCCGACACACTGCTATAAACTGCTTCAGCTATCATATTCTCGGATATAAATGGATAAACTTCACTGTCTACGGTAAATGTTTTCGTGTTAACATCCCTTTCCTTTTTTATTGCTTCATTATAGGTAGGTAGATGGATAGAGAGTCCACCAAAAACATGCATACACATTTCCAAAAACAACAACAACAAAATAAAACTAATATGATGTTTATTTAACAGATGCTGTCCTCATATGAGAGACCCTGGAGGATGACATGTATCGCAGAATACCCACTACCCCACCGGCCCTTAGAGAAGAAATTGAAAATGCATGTGTAGAAATCACAGAGACCAAGATTAGCCAAGCAGCTGTTTGCTATATTAATAACGGCCATCACTGTGAGGGCCCTCTGTAAATGTAGAGGCCAAAGCTAGCTTGTATTATTCTCATGATGTCTCAATAAATTTTAAAATGCAGTCATACAAGTTTTTTTTTTTTTTTCTGGTGTGTATACTTGTGTCTGTCTATCTCTCTCTCTCTCTTTCATTTTCTCTGTCTCTGTTTCTTCTTCTTCTCTTTCTCTCTCTCTCTCTCTCTCTCTCTCTATATATATATATATATATATATATATGTTTTTGAGCACAGTGATGTTTCAATAAATATATACATTATATAATATCAAAGAATAGTTATTATCATATACTTCACCTTGAATATTTATCAATACTTGGTTGTAAAAGTATTCAAAACCTTTTCTTCTAGTAGTGTAAAATAGACAGTACCTTATTTATTTATTTATTTATTTATTTATTTATTTATTGGATTCAAGGATTGAACTCATAACCTTGTGTTTGCCAGGAAAGCACTTATACCACTGAGCTAAATCCCCAGCCCTAGACAGTACCTTATTATTAACAACTGTCATAATCACTGCACTGTGCCATAGACCACTAGCACTTGATCCTCCTAATTTTAACATAATTCCCATTAGATATGCACACCCCATATTCCCTTTCTCTCAATTCTTCCCAGACTCTGGTAACTAGTACTATATTTTCAATTTTTATGCTATCAACTCTTTAAAAGATACTAGTTATTTAATATCTGTTCTTTTGCTAGCTTATTTCTTTCTGTGTTGATCCACATTGTTTGCAATTGAAAACTGATGTGATTTCATGCTTTGTTATGGCTGAAAACATTTCATTGTGTCTATATATCACACTTATTTATCTATTCATAGATATTTATGTTGATTCCATATCTTGGCTATCATGAATAGTACTTTAAGAAACGTGGGACCAGAGATTTCTTATCTACTTGCTGATTTCATTTCCTTTGCATATATAACTGACAGTAGGATTTTAGAATCATATTTTTTTTTATTTTGATTCTCCACAATGGATATACTGATATACATTCCCACCAAAAATTCATCAGGGTTTCCCTTAGTCCACATCTTTTCTAGCATTTGTATTTTGTTGTTTTTGTTTTAGGGGAAGGGGCTTGTTAATAACAGCCAATGTAACTGGAAGGAGGTAAAATTTCACTGAGGTTTTGCATTGCATTTCCCATGATAGTTAATGATAGCAAACATTTTTTCACAAAACTGTTAGCCATTTGCCCATCTTCACTGGAGAAATGTCTATTCAAATTTTTATTCCCATCTTCACCAGAGAAATGTCTACTCAAATTTTTATAAGTATCTCCCTTGTAAAATACACTTGGCATCTTGATATATGCTCACTGAGGGTTTCTGAATGCATTTCTAAATGAGCTCATCACTTATGTATCTTTCACAGAAAAAATGTGAATTTGAGTTTCAAAGTCAAATTTAGTGTCATTTCAATTATTCATTCCTTAAATATTTATCAGACATCCCCTCTGGATTGTATTATATTTACCAGAAGGATACAGTCATGAAATATAACAGATGTCAGAAAACATGTTGAAGACTAGTATATAGATTACAGTGTGCAGAACGTAATGGCTCAGTACTCAAACTACTCAATTCTGCCCTCTAGCATGAAAGATGAAAGCAGTTACAGAAAACATACACAGAATTAGTGTGACTATCTTCCTAAAACCTGTATAAACAAAAATAGGTGTTGAGACAAAGTGGGAGGACTTATAGCTCCTGCCTTCAAAATGTACTATAATGCTATGGTAATATTTGCAATGGCAAATGCATAATGTCAATGAAATAAAAGAGAGTCCAGAGATAAATACATAGGTCTATGGTCAGTTTTCAAGAAGTGCATCAAGACAATTCAATTGAGAAAGAACTTTCAACAAATGGCATGGATAAATTGAATATTCACATAGAAAACAATAAATCTGAGACTTTCACTCATAACATTTTCAAACATTAATTTTAAATGGTTCAAAGACTTAAATATTTGAGATAAAACTATCCATTTTCACAAAGGAAAATATGGTATAAATATCCATGACTTTATAGTAGGAAATATTGTGACACATAATTTCAGGGGCAACAAAAAGGGAAAAAATGGACTTCATCAAAATTGAAACTTCTGTGCCTCAAAAGATATAGTCAAGAAAATAAAGAGATAACTGAGAATGAAAGAAAACATTTGCAAGTCATATATCTGATAAAGCTTTAGCCATTGAAAAAGATATGAGCAGAAATTTTCCCTAAAAAGATATATCAATGGCCAATAAAAACACCTGGAAAGATGCTCAATATCTGTTGTTAATAGAGAACATACAAGTCAAAGTCACAGGGGAATACAATTTTGTACCCACAAGGACAGTTAAAGTAAAAAAAATCACAAGCAATAACAGGTGTTGATGAGTATGTGGGGAAATTAGAAGCCTCACAGATTGCTGATATGAGTGTAAAATGGTGCAATCATTGTGAAAAGCTTTTAGTGAGTCCTCAGATAGTTAATCTGAGTTCCTGTATGAGCCAGCAATTCCATTTCTCAGAGGTGAAATTCAAAAAAGAAAAAAAATACTTTTATATAAAAAGCATATATATATATATATATATATATATATATATATACACAAAAATTGTACATAAATCTTCATAGCAACATCAGCTCTAGTATCCAAAAGTGGAAAAAAACAATATTCATATAACTGAGCATGGATTAATAAAACACCATTTATCCCCACAATGGAATATGATTTAGTAGTAAAAAATAATGAATTACACATACATTGTATAACACAATTAAACTCAATGGATACTAAATGGAAAAATGCAACTATATAAGACCACATATCATATTATTCCAATTATATGAAATGTCCAAAATAGAAGAATGTACAGAATAAACTAGAGGTTACTGAGACTATTTGTTTCTGTTTTGGAGTGATGAAAATGCTCAGGAAGTAAGCAACTATGACGTTGATCCACCTTGTAAAATACACTAAAAGCCAAAGAATCACGCACCTTACAAGGGAACACATTGTGCTTTATGATATGCAAATTTTCAGGGATGGAACAGAAAGACAAAGAATAGGGAAGAGAGAAGGAAAGAAAGAAGAAGAAAAGAAAGAGAGAGAGAAGGAAGGAAGGAAAGTAAGTAAGACGTGGGTAGATCTGGTGCGCAGTCTGCAGATTTCTCACTCCTTAATTAGAAAGACTCATCCCGGTTCTCTGACTGTGTGTGCCTTTGAGGACAACACACAGTGTAAGATCTCACTATGATGTAATGTGGAAAGTGATGGGAGATGACACCGAATGGGAAGGACATGTGATTCGTTTATAGGAGACCCTGGAAGAATTTGCAGAAGATGGTGTTCCAAAATGAGCACAGTATAGCAAGTTGAAAATTCAGAGTGAAACTGTAAGGAAGAGCACGCATATGGCAGGACTAGAAGAAAGGAGAATGCTCCTGAGAATGGTACTGAATGGCTGTGAAGATCCCCACACTAAATAAAACAATCTAGATTATTTTGGATGTGACAGGTAACAAGGAACAATTCTATCAACCATTGGGGATTGTTTTCAGTGGAGGTACTAGGTGCCGTTTGCACATATATTTTATAATGACCTCTCTGGTTACAGGACTGATATTAAAAAACTAGCTGAAATACAGGATGCAGGAAAAGCATAAAGGGGTACAGGAAGGGAAATAGAAAAGAAAGGAATTAGGAAGCAGCCACAGAGGGAAAACTGTGGTAGAATCTGATCTGGGGAAGAGATTTCACACAACTGTACATTTGCACCCTGTGAATGTCTTATAGCTTTTTTCAGATTCTTTCCCATTATTACGTTATAAGGACAGGGATGAGAGTGTACAAGTAGGATTCTGCATCACTCTTCTTTGTTTTTCATATTTTTTCTATTTTTTTATTAAATTTCAGATATACATAGTGATAACATTCATCATAGGGAATTTGTACCTGTACAAGGTATAACCTGCTTCCTCATTTCTTCCCTTTCCCCTCCCCTGCCTTCAACCTCTCATCTATTTCTTATTTACAAAAGCTTTGTTTCCATTTTCTTCTTTTTTTATCCTTTCCTTCCTTTCCCCCTTTCTTTCTCCTTTGTTCCCCTTCTCATTTGAATATTTTCTTTCCATTTCCAAATATCTATTATGCTCTTCTAAGCAGCAACAATAGATTCATAATAATGCAAACATTCAAAATGTGTTTACCTTCTCTTATCATTTCCAAGTACTCATCAGCAGGAATATCTTCCCTCCCTATCCTGCAGCCCTCAGATTGTGACATGCAGGGCAAGTGACTTCATTTTACAGAACCACAAACTCTTCGTTTAAAAAATAATTCATGCAATCATAAATTTGAAGGATAAATTAGATCATGTCTAACTTACCTAGTAAAGTAACTGGAGCACAGGAAGTCATTCAATTATTTTAATTACACTAATTATTTCATAATGATTATTTATACTTGAGTGAAGTCTTTAAGGCAGACAGGCTCAACTAATGGTTCAATCCTAAGATTACCTTGGGAAATCAGCTCCAGAGAAAAATTACCTTTCTGCAGAGGCTTATTCAAGCTACATAAGTAGCAGAGGTAAGTGGACCTCATGTCCTGCTGAAATTTCATTGAACCTGATAAACTTGGATGTTTTCTGAAAGAGAATGATGTGGTCCCAGGGGACCTTCCCCAAAACTCTCACCTCCAAAATTCCCCTTCCAACCTCTCACAGTTAATTGGCCTGTACCTTATCGGGCTGTTGGCTGCATCAGGATCTTTGGCATGCACTCTCCCAACCACAGTGCCAGGCGCTGCATTTTCTTGGACTTCGTGGATATAACTTGGAGCCAAGAACATGGGGGGCTCGTCAACATCTTCCACATCAATCTTGACAGTGACAGTGTCCTTGAAAGGTCCATTGATGATGAACTTTGGGTCGAAGTGCACATTGGCAGCCTCTACTTTCAAATTATATGCTCTTTTGGTTTCAAAATCCACAGGCTGCAAGAATGGAGAGAAGATTGACAACCAATTCCTTGAAAGACAATGGAAGAGAAAGACTCGATTGTTTTATAGGACAAAGTAAATACTTCCTCAAAGAGAGAAAATCAGTACTCAATATCCAACTACCTGAGCCAGTTGGTCAGAAAATCAGATGAATCAATTCCTGAAATGTGGAATATGCTTAATAGGTAATTCAATGACCAGGATTGATACAGAGCCTGTACATCCTGTGAAAGGGACCCTCTTCTGTACAGTTACACAAAGGTTTCCCTAGTCAGTTTCTAAAAGCCATTGGAAAGGGGAAAACAAAACAGTATCAAAAATTTTAGCTGATTTTTTAAAGTATTAAGACCTTGTTAATGAAATTGCCCACTTAGAGAACAAAAGTGTGTCTTATTGATGACTGCCTTCCCCTCCCACATCAACACGCAACTCATATACCTCAGTCACAGGGATAGCCTCACTTTGAAGTTTCTGAGTACACTGCATTTTACAAAGTCTAAAACGTTTACTTGTTGTACCCATAAAATTATTTTGGGCAGTTTAAGGGTAATTTTGATAAAAAGGACTGTTAAATAATACTCACTTACTTACTGGCATAATCAGTTTTGTTTTTTGTTTTTTGTTTTTTTTTTCCATTTCTCTAAATTCACAGCATCTTGGGATAGCACTGCTTTTTAATATATAGGATATGCTCTTCAGTAACTGTTTTGGGAAACTAAAACACTACACTTTAGCTGAAATGAAATGGCAGTTTTGTTTTGATTTAAGTAATGGATAGGTTATCTTCCATTACTGGTAAGTGATAAAACAGTGAAAATAATCCTTTATTTTATCTTATTATATTTTGTATGGGGAATCAAACATAGGATCTTGTGTTTGAGAGGCAGGAATTGTGCTGCTGAGCTATATCCCAGGTTCAATCCTTTGTTTTAGAAACAGTAAAAAAAAAATTAACTATCTGAAGAAAAACAAGAATTATCAGTAGAGATTTTTATGTAGATATAGATAAAACAGAGAAACAATATTTAAATGGCTGAGGTATAGGAACACTGATGATTAAACACTTCTTAATTTTGAGTAGAGAAAGTACAATCAATCCACTAGCAAAGGGTAAAAGTAAAATATTTAGCAAAGAAATGAACTCTAAAGTCTAAGGAAAAGTTTCTAATTATCACTCTGGATGATTCAGGATTTCCCAGTGTTTGAAAAAAAAACTTTTATCTTAAGGCAGCATGTGCTTGACACACTGTTTTCCTCTGCCTGACAAACATTTCTTTGGAATGGGCATAAGGTGGAGGGGCTTAGTCCTGAGCTAATTCTGCACAACTCCAAATCAAGGAGGACTCTAGTTTCACAAGAGTTAAACGTATTCAATCAGACTACCATGTCCATCTGCCTCAGTCGGGGAACACTCCCCTTTGTCAGAGTTAAATCTACCTCCAGCCTCTTCATCATCTTTTGGGAGACCCAGGAGCTCCTTTGTCATTGGCTACATTACTGAGTAGTGGAAAGAAATGATATTTGTAGGCTAATGGTATAACATTGTTGCAATGTCTGCAATTACTGGTTAAAATAAAAAAATTGGCATGTGATAGTTCTGAGACTCAGTAATTTGTAATCAGGAAAGATGAAGTTTTTTTTCAGTTTTTGATGCCCCTATAACAAATCTTTTTGCATTTGAGGTAAGAATATGCCTAAAATTTCAGACCCACATTTTGTTCTGGAATGCTGTATGAATGCTGAGTATAATAAAATCATGCTGCTTTCTTACAGACAGACTTCATTTGGATCATCTCCAGATAGGATCTTCAGTGTGTTTTCCCAGTCTGCTGAGATTCTTCCTGGTCTTCTGGCAGTTCACTCAAGTCTCATGTCTTTGAGTAGTTCTGCTCAGTAACCCCGGGTTGATTGGTATGGCCTCTGATCTAGCCTCTGCATCCCTCATTTCCCTCCCATGGTAGATTAGAAGCATACCAAAGAGCTCTATTGAGTTGATCTTTGTTGATTTTTCCTCTATACAGCCCCAGAATTACTGCATCAATGCAAAAGTCAATGCATCAATAATTTTGACTGAGTAAAGAGCAGGACTGATGGGTGGATAACATTTTAGCATTTATTTACAATTTTCTCATCCTCCTTCCAAAAACTATTTGAGGTAGCTTCCCATGTGAACATTTATATCTGTGTTATGAGTAGTTGAAATAAAGCAAAATGAGGTAACACACTGCATAAGCCATAAAAATCTTAATACCCCCCTCATTTATTAATCTCCACCTCTGAAAATTCTCCCTAAGGGATTAATTCAACAGAAAACCCAAACAAAAAATATTCACAAATGCACAATATTTGTTATATATAGTAGAAGGTTATATCTAATCTGGAGAAATATGCACATGAAACATCAAATCCAACTGTAAGATTTTATTAAGGAAATAATGGTCCATCCATAGGACGGGATATTATGGAGTCATTAAAAATGATTATGTATATTATATAACAGCATGTAAAATGTTTACAATGTGACATTAAGTTAACAAATCAAATCACCCTATGATTGCAACCCAGCTAAATGTTATGTATCCACATCTATATACATGTGGACAATGAATATAAAGAAAAAATAAGGCATAAAAATAATTCTGTTAATATAGAGAATATTTAAAGTGCCTCATAATGCTGCCCTAAAATTGCTTCACAAGTTTACTGGGCTGAAAATAAACAGTTCAGAAACTATGCTGGAATTTCTCTGCAATAAATGAGATTCCTACTTGGTCAAGGGTGTTACAATGAACAGATTGGATTTTTCCTCCCTGTGTCTACCAAAACACCTTAAAGCTTATCTGTATTTAATACTATTCTTCAGCTAACCATGTGGAGACTGACTAAATCCCTGAAGGAAGGTTTTCTTTCTTCACTATGAAATCCAGATATACTGTCCAATTCTATAAACATGTATTGCTTTTAAGTGACAAAAAAAAAAAAGATGAATCTATCCACTGGTTAATTCTTCTCTTTGGCTCTTTGTAATACATATTTTGAATCCAATACCAGTTTCTCAACTGGTCTTATTCTGTAAAGACTAACTGTATTGCAATCTCCTAAATATATCTTTTTTAACAGGTTCTAGTTCTTCATGAGTTTATTTTTTCCCTGCCTTTTCTCTCTTTATCTAATGGGGAAAGTATTGTTCAACTACCAACACTCAACTCAAGGACTCCTCTTAGAAATCATTCTTGACCCATATCACAGTTTTTATAGTTGGTTTTCTGTTGAGGAGTGCTTGATCCATTTACTCCAAGAATATTTGGCAATGTCTAGGGTTGTGTTTTGTGACAAAACTGTTGAGATTAGGTGGAGTGAGTGCCTATGGACCTCCCAGGAGGAGGAGCCTGAATGCTGTCAACCATCCTCCAATGCACACAATAAGCCCTACAACAAAAAAATCACCCAGCTCAAAATATCGACATTTTCAGGTCTGGAAGATGGCATTGGAATTCTATTTAATTCTCATTTTCCTGTGAGCTATCTTATAAAATTGTGACATCCTTATGACCAGAACACTTTCTAATTTATATCTCCAAATTTTACTGTACCAAGGTCTTACCTGACAAATAATAACTCAATAGCTCTTAGTGGGGAAAATGGATAAATTAATAAATGAGTGAAAGTACTATGCTAAATAATGTCTTTGAAATATAAAATAGTTGCATGATCTCTCCAAATCCTTTTATATTATTAACTTGTATTATTAATGACTTCCACAAGGACTCATATTTGTACTTTGTAAAATCTACCTTTATTTTTTTGCCCTTCCAGTGGACAATTAGAACTTTATGCTATTAGTGTAAATAAATGTTCTTTTGAAAATGAAATGAAGTCCTACATTTGAACCTGAATGTGATTGCTATTTAGAAGACTGTTCCACTGCCTATAATAAATATGCTGACTTGGGGGAAAATACACAAGTTAATCACATGCAGATAACTCATTTGCCATGTGAGAGTTCCATGAGCATGATTTAAATCTCTCAGGACTTTCAAGTCACAGTGTGTAATATAATGCCCTAAATACACTGAAAATATGTGAAACCTTAACATAATCAACTACCTAATTACTCCAGTGACAAAGGATGGGAGGCAGGAATTGCTGCTGTTGATGTTAATACACCAGTGTCAAGCTAAGCGGATAGTAATGTGAACTAACACAGGAAGTTGACAGCTTGAGGGTGCATACAATCCCCACAACTACTTTTCCAGAGGAGAAATCAAAGGAAATCATTACGTCAGCTCCCATGTGGCAGAAAATCTGCCCTACTCTGTCAGATCATGTATGATAGATACATTTGTAAGCATCCAAAGTCACTCCAAATTCTAAACATTTCATTTTCTTTGTTCTTCATGACAGTCACAGACAGTCACCTTCTCTTTGCTGTGTTGTCTAAATTTTCTCTCCAAACCTAATAGCTTTAAATGTTTTAAAAGTCAGTTGAGTGGAGCACATCCCTTCTTGCCTCTCTCCTGAAAGTTTCCCCCAAGGCTCAACCTTCCCCCTCCTTACTCTTGTCTTTTCTTCAACTACTGGTCTTTTTATTGATTCTTCAAATCAATTTTTCATCAGCGTTAATGCCTAATCTTTCCCATAACCTCAAGAACTTAGTATTCATGTTGCAAAACCAAGTAGAAAATGAAAATGTTTTATTAAAACCGTATAACCCCATCATCCCGTTCAGATTTAATGCTCCATACACTTTGAGGCCGAAGAAGTGTTGATTCCTAAGAGGTAAATACAAGAGGTTCACTTTAGAATGTATTGTAACTGATTCTTCAATTGAAAGTGAAATCATAACTTACTTCTCTTTATTAGTTCTTTCTGGCTCAGTTATTTCCAAAACCTATTAAGAGGGAAGATGTTACAAATATGCTAGGTGTAAATTTCATGTCTGTGACTTTGGTTAGGTCAAATATTTAATCCTTCTGGGCCCCAGTCTCAAAATTAAGTTGAAAATATCACTGTTCATTAGACAATGCTATTTATTTTAGATGAGAATTTGCATATTAAAAATAAATGAGATGTTTGTAAGAGACTCAGGCTGTAATATTGAATAGATGCTACCTTTATTTTTACAAAGAAACAAAACCAGGAAGAAACAATGTGCTTTTCTTTGTAGTGAATTAATTTAAAAGTCATCTTTCTGAGGATCTAGCTGACTATAAGGACAGGCTTATTATTCTGGCTTTTCTCTTTGCAATTTAGAAAGCTAAGCAAGAAAGGGATTTGTTTAAATTTCTCAGAGGGTCCAGCAGTGAAGTGAACCTGTTTGAAATAAGAGAAGTTCTGAGCACCTTATGTCAAAAGTTTTTACTGGGTGCACCTAAAGGAACTTAGAGTTGATTCTCTAAAGTCTATGCTTCTCTAACGGCTTTTGCTTCTGTAGGAGAAGTGTGCCAAAACACAGGATGACAAAACAGCCATCTCAGGCAGAAATAATCAGCCCCCTTGCTCATGTTCCTCTGCACTAACAGAAGGTAATACAGTTCTGTTGTCTCTATAGAGCTCTGTGATCATTCACACAGTGAGGTCAGGCCCCACCTACCCAATTCTCCCTCTGTCCCCTCTGTTGCCTGTAGTGTTGCCTTGGCAGAGAAGCCCACACATAGACAAGCACATTGTTCACCCTAACTCACCTTTTTCAGCTTCACCACACCCTCTTGTGTTTCATAGTCTGTTGTGATTTCAAACAATTCCATACCATCTCCATCAACAATATTGTACGTGACTAATCCATTTTCTCCAATGTCTGGGTCTTTAGCTTTCATTCTTCCTACTTCCTCACCAGGGACAGCAGCTTCTGACACAGACATCTGGTACACACCTAGAAGAAGAAGAAGAAGAAGAAGAAGAAGAAGAAGAAGAAGAAGGAGAAGACATGTCCTTTTATTTTCCTTTGTATTTGACAATTCTCAGACATCAAATTGCATTGAATTCCAATAAATTTCTCAAAGGGTTTGAAATTGAACTTTCTATCAATTGAAAACTTGAAAGAACAAAATAGATTGAAGGAAGGTCCAGATGGCCTGCTTGCCAAAAGAATGGACTGTATAAAGAGTGATGAAACAATAGAGGAAATGTTGGGGTCACCTGCCACAAGTGAGGAAAGCAAACAATGTTCAGTTACACTTCTTGAAAGAATGGCGGAGATCACATATATTGTCACACTGTCCAATAGTTGATTCTTCTTTTCATGTCTGCAGAATGGCCCAAGAAATTAATATGAGGAATTTTGAGCATAGCCTAATGTCCAGGAAAAACAAAACAGAGCGAAACTAAACTAAACTAAACTAAAACAAGATACTTTATTTAAAAGCCTCAGTGGCCTCGGTTTTTTTTTTTGTTTTGTTTTTTTTTTTTTTTTTTGAGACAGGGTTTCACTATGAGCTCACTTTGTAGCCCTGGTTGGTCTTGAACTTACAAACATCCTCCTGCCTCAGTCTCCTGAGTGCTAGGATTACAGGCATGTGCCACCATGCCCAACTGTCACGTCTATATTTTAATCAAATGCAAACTTTATCTTTTAAAATCTTTCCTCTTATATACATAGTTCTCCTCTTTCTTCACATCCTGTACTACTACTCCAAGCAGGACATTCTCTGGAAAGATTTCTTACAGTGTGATTACTCCACATTTATACGAATTTAGTATTTCTTGGGAACATGTGTGCCAGATACTCTCATGTACCTACAAACTCAGTAGTAGGCAAAGCAGTTATCATTTTGTCTTCAATGAGTCTTACCAAAAATAAGATAAAAGAAAACACAGATATATTTATATTGTTATCACTGCTAGGCAACTAAGACAGGAAACCAATGAAAAAGACATGAAGGGTAGAGGGAAATGAATACGCATGTGGTTGTGTGTACGATTGTGAATGAGTATGAGGGTGTAAATGGGAATAGATGAGTTGTATTTGTGGGTGTGGAAGTGAGTGAGTGATCACATGTATGGAGTAGGTAGCACATGAGTGAGTGTACAACTGAAGACATTATGTATATATTTGTGTGAGTTTATTTCTGTATGTGGATGAATGTAAGCCAATGTGAATGCTGTGCTAACTATGTGAGGCAAAGAGAGATTTATTTTGAGCCAGGTAGACACAGAACATTTGCTGGAATAAATAGTATCTTAAAGACACTAAAGAAATTGAGCAGAAAAAAAAAAAATCTGAGGTGGCAAATGTCTAAGAAATAAACATTACAGGTCCAGGGAGAGCTAATGTTAATAATATAAAATTGGGGACATCTTCGATATGTACAAGTCACAAAAGGACAATTGTCTCAAATGAGTCTGCTGTTAATAGAGAAGAATGCCCAGATAGGCTGGGGCTCAGCTGGAGGAAAAAGAGAGATCATTCTAGGAAATGGAAAAGACTTGAAGTTTCGTTTAAGTTTAGGAAGCCACTGGATGGTTTCCAGCGGGGCTGTGAGAATTGACACCAACCTATTTTCATCTTCACATATTCTGTGTGAGGGAAAAAATATAAGCCAAATCAGCGGACTTGCTATCTACCTCTTTGCACTTTGGCTTCCTTTGCAACAGATCTTATCAGTTACAGTATTCTATTTATATGTTCAGTTTGGATTTATATTCAATTTAACCTCATATGCCTTTCATCTTGGTATGGTGGGAAGATAATTACAAATGTACAGGAAAGAATTTAAAAACCTACTGTAAGATGATTTTCTCCAAATCACATCCAAGTTTAGACAGTGAGCCTCGTACAGCTGGGGACAGTAATAATATAGCTTAACTATATGACTCTCAATGAGCGAAAGCACTAATAATAACTCAGTAATCCTGCTTGGTGTATTCATCCCAGCTCACCTAACAATTGTACAATGCATACAGTAGAAATCGCAGCTTTTAGAACATTGCATGACCCTTAATCTTTCTGGGAATCCTGAACCTGGTACCTGGAGAGGAAAGCATCTATCATGGGACGCTAAAAGAGCCGAGAGGCCCCTCCTTGACTTCTCCCTTATTGTTTCCCTTTTGTAGATTGTCCTCTTTGAATTTCTCAGAATAATTATAGCACTTCCTGAGACCATTTTTCATGACTTCCCCTGTTCTCTCATTTGCGATACACTCACAGGTTCCAGTGAAAGAGAGCTTTTCACAATGGAAGTCCTCCAGGACTAGCGGCACCATATCTTTGTATTCAGCTCCACATACATGAATAGATTCATGTTCAGATTCTGGCTTGGCCATGTTCCTTTAGTCAAGTTCTTCTGGACTTTATAGAAGCCTGTTTTATCTTTAAAATGTACATGTAGGCTTTTGTAGAGATTTACAGAGTTAGTGATTGGAAATTAAATGATGACACAGGTATCTGTAATTAAAATTACTTATTTCGTTTAATATCTTTTTTTAAGAAATTTCCTTAGCAATTGTATAAATTTTGTAGAACTCAAGTAACAATGGCTAACATTTGTTGACAATTTATCTTAGGTGTTATTACAAGGCTTTACACTAACTTGTTTACACCTAGCAATAATCCTATTAATTAAGCAGGGTGGAGGATTTCATTTTTCAAAACCAATCAAAATCCCACATGCTTTTCTTCAAGGGACTTTGCTTAAATTCTGGCATTCTTACGCCAACACTGAAAAGGAAGTATATGACTGGTGAGGCTGGTTCTGGAAATACAAAACCATTTCTGCCTAGTGCTCTAGAGGTTCTCACTGTCAGACACAGCCCTGGAGACACCCACATGCAGAGGAACCAGTTGCGCATACAAACTAACTGGCCATGAAAGTAAAAATTCCTGGAAATCAATCGTCCATCCCTAGCTGATGCTGTGTAAAACCAAGAAAAAATATCTCCTCCAAACTTTGCACTCAAGGCAAAAGCAAATGCTTATTATTTTAAAACGCTCTTGAACAGTTTGCTACACAGCATAAAAATAACTGATTGAAGCACTGTTATATCCAGGTTAGTAACAAGAACAGAGAAAAGTGCAGACTAGATCACACTATTATTACCTACTAAATAAAATACCTAGCAAAATCGATTTTCTTTTCCCAAGATCAAAACTTTTAATGTCTTCCATTTTGTTCACTGTCTTCATGCCATGTCAGTTGTATTATTGCCATTTTTCTTTTTTGCAAAAATGATATAATTATCTCTTAGTTTTGTAGGTTTTCTTTTGGAAAGCTGAATAAGGTAGGAAGGGGCAAGAGATGATGGGGTGCTGGGTGTGACAGGGCTGAGTGGTGAAAGCTAAGCCCACCTACTTACTCTGAGGAAACTTTGGTGGGTTGTCATTGACATCAGTCAGGGTGATCATCACTTTGGTTGTTCCTGAGAGTCCACCCATGTGTCCGCCCATGTCCTTGGCCTGGATCACCACATGGTATTCCTCCTTAGCTTCTCTGTCCATATTGGGGAGGGCTGTTCTGATGATACCTGGGCAGAGAGTGGGAAACACAACAATCATTTATAACAGAATACAATAGCTACATGTGTGGGACACATTGTTGGTAAAGATTAATAAAGTACCTCAGTTTCTCAAAGAAAATTTCAGTACAGTAAATTTAACCATAAGCAACCATTCCTGAAGCATCCTTGTTTCATTCAAGCACGTCATAAAAATATTACAGATCATTAATTTTGTTTTATTTCTTTTTATATGCAAGTAATAACCTCAGGCATTAGTATCCTGCAGACTGAAATATTTGTATGTCCACTATGTGGGTATCTGCAAGTAAAACTATATTTTCGACTTCTAGTAAAATCTTTTGGAAATCTATTTCCACATGCAATTTTCAAACATTTTTTATACTCTGCATTACATTTAAAGTAAGAGGCACATATTTCATGCAATACATTAAAATGCTAGTATTAATTTGTGAAAGAGTGAACCAAATGGTTTAGCATTATGCACAATGCTTATGCAAATATTTACTGTCTAAAATCACCTGCCACTGACAACAGTGGTAAATTAATGATTGGATTATTTTTGATCCCTGATTACAGAAACATGATTTTAATGAATCCTACGTTCATCTAAATCTCCAGCAGATTTATGGAAGCTTTTCTTAAGGTATCACTTGAACTAGAAATTTAAAAACAACACTGAGGAAGATTTAGTATTCCCTGATGTTGGTATGTTTCCATGAAAAACCCTGTTATTTCCCTTTTTGTTAAGTAATTTGATAGATTCAAAATCTATCAAATTTGATAGATTCAAAATAGCCATGAATTCTTAAGATAAAAGGTGGAGGGTATTTTTTTTTTTTTTAAATCTCAAATGTCTAGATGAAGCTCATGCTTTTCTAGAATAACCTGCAAAAGTTAATGGTAACTTTGATACAATCATAGCAAGTAACTTCGTAAGTTACACTCCGAAACAAGGCAGCTACAAATAAATGAATACGCAAGTAAATTGAAATTATATTAAGTTAAAGGGCAAAATATTCACTTGATAGTTTAAGTGTAAGCATAAGTACACACATATGTTATAAATTTTAATCATGATAAGTGAAGAATATTTGTCCTGATCTTTCAAAAAGATGAGACATATTGTGGAGAGGAAAAGGTCCCTGAGAAATATCGAAGATGAGCAGTTTCATAGAATTTTAGTCTTCATTCCAGAGAGTTAAATTCGGTATAAATTATGTGAAATATTTTGGGCTTTGGTTTTGGTTGTACACTTATATACTTCTTGGGTTTACTCTTTGTTTTCCATAAGAAATGCACAGAACCTCCTCTCTGTGTGATGTTGTCCACTGACAAGCTATGAGTACAAGAAGAGAGACTGGGAAAGTGCTACACCTTAAATCAGTGGGAATATCAGCATACACCTCTGCCACCCCCAGTCTTGAAGAGTGATCTTCGGAGCATAATTTGACAGCTGCTTGCCTTTATACCAGGCTCCAATTCCTATGGTCTCTTAACTTGGATCCACAGATCAAGACTTTTTTGAATTTAATAATATTAAATTTAAAGATTCTTTGTTATTGCTACATTGTGAAATATGGGCAGAAGCAATAATAAACATGTTTCGCTGCATGCTAGCTATACACCTGGACATGGATCCAGTGCTGAATCTTCACATTAATCTACTTAGGTGGCTTTTGTTGGTCCTTTTGTATTTATTTGGGGAAACTGAGATTTAGGTAGGTTCACTGAGCAAGCATGGACTCTAATCTGCAGTCTGTCCTAAGTCACAGTGGTGGCAGCATTCCACAGTACCTGTCTGCGCCTCCACTGAGAAGTAAGGCTGTCCTTCAAGGATGCTGTACACTAACTTGGCGCTGTTCCCATAGGTGGGGTCATCTGCATCAGAAGCTGTCACCTGAATCACCGATGTTCCTTAGAAGGAGAATAAATTGATTAGTACCATGCCTTTGATTTTCAGAATAATTATTACTTATAAAGTTTCATTATAAATTTAATGCAGAAAAGAATCCCAACACATTCTTATTTTCTTTGAATCTTCCTTCTTTCCTTTCTTCCCTTTCCTTCTTTTTACTTGCTAATTCTCACATTGTAAAACTAAACTTTCTATATTTGCAGTACACCTTGCTATGCCTAATAGTTTGAATGATGATATGATTGTTATTGCCAAATAGTCTGAGACCCATGCAATTGAAATGCTGAGTTTAGCACACAATTAAATAAAAACCTTCCAAAGAGTATAATAAATGATAATTAATGATGAATTGCTTTTCAAGAAAAGACAGAGTGCAATCCCCCATCAGTAGCAGAACAATGAATATATCATTTTATTGTTGCTTTGCATGTCATAAAATTGTTCCTAATACTATATTTTAATTAATTTATGGCTATCAATATTGTGCAGAATGTTGTTTCCTACTGGCATGAAAATTGCATTTTCCTACCCCTAATAGGTCTGGTATCCATGAAACAGGAATTACCAGTTGATACCTGGTGAGTACTAAGGCAAACCTCTGTGAACCAAAATTTCAGGAAACCTAGTAATTGGAGGAATATGCAATTTTTTTTTCTTTAAAAATTCCTTCTGTTCCTTGCTGGTCACAACTGACTAGTATCCGGAACATGGGAAATTGGTTTTCAGAGTGAAAAAAGAGGAGTTAGAAGGAAAGATTGGGCAATTATACAGTTTCTCTGTTCAAGGCATTATTTGGGACACACTCCATGTATGGAGTCCAGCATTATGTTTTTATTATTATGAATTTAGTAGCATGTTTGCCAGTATTTTCTACCAGTTGGCATTTCACATCCATTTATGTGGGGAAATTTGGTGTGAGATGTATAACATTAGACAATCTCTTTCACAAAGATATTTATTTCCAAAGTTAGCAATTTAAACCAACCATGAAAGCAATGAACTCAAGTTTTTTTTATGTGAAATTTTCTACAGAGAGGCAAGGTTCCATGTGGGAGGCAAGGTGGTCCACTTACACCTCTTCTAACTACCCTTTACAGTGTTGTCAGAACATTTGTGGGGGGTACACAAGCAAATCTCTTTTCAAATCAGTCTTCTCTAATTCACTGTTTCATACAAATGACACTTTTTGAACTCTTCCCACAAGCCAAGCCATATGCTAGGCAACAGAGATTTATAAAGGAGAATACCATTGGGGTATGGTAGGGAAATTACTAGTTTTATGCTTAATTTACTCCTAAAACTCTAAATGCTTTACAAATCTTCGTGTTTTGCATGTGTTTTTTAGCAATCCTCATAGTATATGCTAGCCTATTTTTGTAGATGACAAAATGAAAATGTAGAAAGTTACAGGAAGAGATCCAGGTCTATACAACTGGTTAAACGAATAGCAATGAGTCAGTGCTGATACTGTCCACAATACAGACTTTACTGTACTTTCCTGGTCCATAATAGAGAGCCTGAGTACTGTCTGTCAGCATCAAAGAACCCCCAGAGTGAGAATAGTGATGGTTCCCACAGAGTATCCTTTATGATGATTGGTTTCCCACCCTGACCCTCCACCCCAGTGTTCATTTCCTGGCACTACTGGCCTCATTTATTCAGATTTATTTGATACCTGTTGTTGCTCATTAGAATCTACGTGTGCGTATGCAGAAAGTAAAGGACAGGTAGGAAGAGGAGAAAGGAAGCAACTGGGAAACAACTCAGCCTGACTTTCACAGAATGTGAGAATTCTAAGAAGATACCATGTTCTGACACAGGGAAAGTACACGCAGAAGAGAAGGCCATAGCTAGCTTTCCTGAGCAGCCTTCTCATAGGCAGTGTTTACTTGTCTCATTTGTAGAATGGGTTACTTTTTCTCTGGTGAGTCTTAAATTAATTTGAGCTCATCTGATCAGATTCATTCCCTGATCACTGTGTGAAAGGCAAATGTCTTTCAATGAGGCACACTCCTCAAAAGACCACCCTGTATTCTAGAAACTCAAATGAAAGGTTTTGCCTGGTAAAGGGATGAGTTAAGGAAACCCTTCACAAACTAATATTTTCACAATGTAGTGTCTCTTCCAGTACAGTGCAAACACATACCTAATTCCCAATTAATAGGTGAGGGCATAGTGGTGTAGATATGTGTGCATTCTAGATCACTTAGAAGCAAAGATTACCCTGGAAAAATCAGAAAATTTGTTTCTGTCTTGAGATGCCATCTGTAAAATATGGCCTATTAGACTTAATCACAGCAAAAATTAAAACTGTGTGCATGAGTCACCAATTGGCACAATGTTTATCTGTGAGAAATATTACTGTTGCTCCTATTTATCAAGCACCAATATGTGCTACAACTATGTGCATGTTACTGCTAGACCTACAAAGCCAAGAATTATTATTCTCATGTTATGGAAAAAGAAACAAAGGTTAAGAGAATAGATTTCACTGGTTCAAAGTTACACAGCTAATAATACAAAACTCAGGGTTCCTGAAACCAATCAAATTATTTTTTTTCTACTCTTGTTCTTTTAAATAAGTTCAGACTTAAAATCCTTAAGCCCATTCTAAACATCTGTAATTTCATTTCTCCAAATGAACATTCTTTGCTGCTATGATGCCACTAAAGATAGAGCCTAAGTTCTATTTCCTGATTTGGGAAGACAGGCAGCAGCCCAAGCTCCCAGCAGCCGGGCTGGAAATAGAGCAGATCTTCCCACTTACGCACCCACATTGGACCTTTCAGGCACGTTGGCATAATAGATCTCATGTAGAAACTCCGGCGGGTTGTCATTAATGTCCTGGACCTTGACAATGAATGAGGAAGCCGGCTCCAGTGGTCGGTTCGTTTCCCTGTCCACTGCTTGACCCATCAGTGTATACTGAGCTTTTTCCTCTCGGTCCAGTGTCTTGATGGCGTGAATGTTCCCTGATTTGTCATCAATCACAAAAATGGTTCCAGCTCCTTCACCTGAGAGAATGTATTTAATCTTCCCATCACCAGTGTCAAGATCAGAATGAAGCTAGGGAAAGAGAAATCACGATTTGTTATCTCACCAGGCAGGAAGGCAACACAAAAACATGATGACTGTTGTAGTGTGTATGCACACACACACACACACACACACACACACACACACAGCTTAATAATTATTCAGAGCAAAACATGAGCATATTTTTAAATCTATACATGAAAAATTTATGCAGTGAGTCTTAACTTTCAGTTCTGTCATCCATTCTGTCATTTTGGCTGCTCAGAAGTCACCATTACTAGCTTCCTTGTGAATCATCTAAGCGACATCCTAGTCCATGCATAGTCTATTGAGCACCTCTCTACAGAGCCATATATATTCTAATTTTTACATACTAAAATGTCTTAAAGCACACATCATTCTGCACCTTGCCATTTCTCTTTAACAGTGAATTCAGATGTCCCTTTGGTATTATACATACAGATCTACCTCACCCATAGGCTGTATCTATTTCTTTTAGCAGTCCTCTCTAGAGGATACTTAGGCTGTTCCCAGGCTATGTTAATTGCAAACAAATTTAACTGATCACACCTGTCAAAAAGTCCAGCTATGCTGCATGCAGGGTCTAAAGATTTGGGGGTGTGATCTTCAAGGAAGAAGAGCTCATTGCAACCATAAAGCTAGGGTGGGTGGGATGGGTTCATGGACATGCAATTCCTCAGACCCTGGAAACTTTATATACCCTTATTCTTTTCCCGTCTTTGAAAAAGCCTGAAGACAGGATGTACTTCACTGAAGCCACACTTTTCAGGCCCCAGAAATCATTCAGGTCTCTTTATGATCAATCCTATGCCTTTTTGCCTGAACTCTGCTCTACTTTGGAACACAAAACTCTCCTAGAGACTTTGCCTGATTTTCCTGCAAGAGTGAGTTTTTTACTATCCTCCATGATCCAATTTCAATTTCTGCAACTGTCATATTAATCTGAATTCCTCACTATTATCTTTAGGGACAAGATAAGCAAGTCTTTCACCATTCTCATAACTTTCTGGAGCAGCAAAGTATAAAAAGCCCTCATTTCTACTTGCTACATGGGGAAACCCATTATAAAACAGACTAAGTAGTTTTATCTAAACAGCAATTAAAATAGTGAAAACAATAATGATTATTGTTATTAACTCCACTTAATAGTAAGATATAATTATGACTGTAATTAATTATTACTAAGAACACCAGTCCTAGCAAGCTTGCTGAGGGTTACAAAGCAAGATTGGACAAACTACTCTTAAAATTCTTGTATTATTACAACTTCCCAAGTGGTATCTAATTGATTTTTGGTGGTTCACTGAAACATTAAATACTTCAGCTTCGAAAGATATATGTATATATAAATTATATTTATTTATTTACCTTATAGGTTTCCCTTGGAGTAGGAAAACATTTTCAGACTTCAGTGCTTATAACAAGTCATGTCTTGTCCAGAAATTAAGACTGACACATTATGACTGTCACATTTCCTAAGAATAAGTTCATTTTGAGTGAGATATGAAGTTATTCGATGACCTACACTTAGACAGAATTACTCCAGCCTTCATACGGATTTTATCAATACAGGCTGGATTCTGTACCACAAATCTAAATCCTTCCCTGAAAGCTTAAGATTGGTTTTCTCAATTCCCTGCTTCAGGTCTCTGTGCAGTTGGAGTGAGTCCTGTGAATGAGGAGCAACTAATACATGGGAATACTTAGTCACTGAAAGCTTCTGGGAACTTCATCTATTAAATATGAATTTGGCTGTCTCATAGGAATTAAACAGATTCATTTCATGGTAAGTCAAATACATGAAAATTCTACAAAATATACTTCATGTATATATTTAACTTGGAGTTTGAAAGTCAAATATAAGGCCATGATTAGCTCAGTGGTACATTGCTTGTCTGGCAAGCATGAGGTTCTGAGTTCGATTCCCAGTAACTCACTCCCAAAAAGGAAGCTGAACATAAATTTCCTTTCTTTTCAATCCTTACAAAGATGAACTATATAACTGGAAATGGTGTTTATCAGGTTCCACACAAACAATGACCTGGGAAGCTATTGAGTGCTTTCTAGGCACCTGGATGCTGAAGCAGGCAGTTAATTCCTGAATCCGAGGATGGATAGCTAGCCACTCTAAACAGCACAGCATAAGACACACTGTGTTTTCTAGAAGAAACCTGGAATTGTATGCTCTGCCAAATTTTAGTTTTCTCAGGGAACCTTAAACTACTCAACTTTAATGTCGACAGGCAAATGATATTAGAGAACCACGTCAGCACTGTTTCCAAAGGATGACCTACAGATCCGGCCACTTTTCTTTTTCATCCAAGCTAAAATAAGACTTATTTTCTAATGTCTAACTTGTGACACCATATACTTTGAATGGTAAGGGTTTCCCTTCCCCCGTTTTGTCCTATGCTCCCTTCTAGTAGGCGTGACAGTTGCTAGGTCTGCAGAGATGACAAAATGGGTCCCCAGCTCCTGTCAGCTACTTAGCCATCCTAACAGCAGACATTACTCCCTGGTAAGAAAGCTTCAAAGCTGAAGATCTATTGTCTCAGAATAATGCATGCAAATCCCCACACATTACAAAGCCACCAACCTTTTCCCTGACTCAAGGTCTTTGTGTCCTCTCTGAGCATGTAGCCCATCTCCCCAACTTCACCAGTTCTGCCATTTATTCCTCTGCTTTTTGGCTTTGCAGGACAGTATCCATATCTTCCAGTTAAGGTATAAATGAATAAAATTCTTTTGGTACATCTTTGCGAGAAGATGTGTTTTCAACCCTAAACAGTACTGTTGAGGCTATGATGAGCCTTCTCTCAGTATGTTCAAGTCCTGCTGTCATATTAAGGGAAACTAAGATAAATGTGTTTGAATCCATGGGATCAGAAATAGGCATATCATCTCTCCTCTCATTTCCACCTTTACTGAATGGGTCTTACTCTTTCTTTAGATCACTAGTTATTATTTTGTTAGCCATGACACCTTCCTTCATGTCTCCTAAATGTTACCATACAAATTCATAATCATGTACAGTGCATTGCATTATCCTCTCTCTCACTTTAGTTTTTCTTTTATGACTTCATAGGTAATTCCTTTTCCCTATATTTTGAGCTTCTTTGTCACCATCTCCCTAGTTGTACACCTGAGGGTAGTAGGGTTTCATTTCTTAGTTAATCTCAATATCACCTGAAACATAGATCTGTGCTTTACCACAAACAATAATGGGAAGCAATTTCCCCAGTGTGCCTTGAATTCTATACACTTGCATTATTTTTGAGCAGGCTACACAAAAAATGCTTAACTCGATCAGTGCTGAACATCTGGAGTCATTCTACCAAGGTTTTACCATCCCTAGAGCAAAAAGGATAAATGTACACCTATTCTTATTAGAGAATAAGCCAACTACTAAAGCAAATGGGATAAAATCATATATATGATGCAATGTGTCTTGAGATCTAGTGAAGAAGATAGACAAATAAAAACCTATGCATGACACAAAAGAGAATGCTGTGACACAAAGAATACCAAAGGCTTTGAGAAGGGGGGCATCCATTTGACCGTTAAATTATGGTCTGAGGAAAGCCTCTATGTGGAAAATGATTAAACTATGATCATTCTCATTTCAGAAGACTATTAAGCAGCTACTACAAGTGTGTTTTTATGGTATAACATTAATTTGAAAATAGAAACATTGGTAAGTGTATGAATCTGGGAGACAGTGATTAGAAGGATGTATACAGACTGATGTTGGGTCATACTCATGACAGATCACTGGTGTTTTCCTGTTAGTTCTTTTCACTTCTAGTGTCCAAATTCCACTTCTTTCAAGGTGGAGGAACATAGATGGGTACTGAATGAAAGCAACCTTACCCTGCCCACAAGCACGGGGTCAGGCCCGGTATACTCCTCTATCACGAAGAACTGGTTCCAGACCCAACCTCTCTTAGAGCGCTGCAACACCTGCCCTTCCTTGCCTCTCTCGTGGTGCCCATGGAATGAGGGGTGCAGGTGGCTTCGTCGCTCCAGGGCGAATGCCTGGCTGTGGCACAGCATGCTCAGGCACACCAGGGCGGCTTGTAAACAGTAGTTCTCCTTCATTTTTGGTTATGTGGTAGGCACAAGGGAATGCAGCGTCACCCCTTCCACCAACCAAGTGGCAGTCTTTCTGACGATGGCCTACCAGATGTGTCAAGCAGACCTCTTTTTGAACAGAATGTCTTTGCTTTCTGAGCACATCACGTCAGGGATACCCACTTCCCCAGTCAGCTTCTGCAAGCAGAGAGAGAGAATCGATTAGCTGCAGGCTTCATCATCACTTCATTACCAGTTAGCAAACATCAAGTGTGAGCAGTAGTTTTACCACTTGCCAGGGCTGGATAAGTTTACTTCTTTGAGCTCATCTTGCTCATTTATGAAATGGAGAAAGGAACAGCATTGCAAGCCTGGCACAGAGAATAATGCCTATAAGTCACTTGGCATATTGCCTGGTGCCATAGACTCAGTCACTAAGAGAACCTTCTGCAGTGAACTGTTACTATAATTGGTCATAACCATGCCTGATTATGTTCTAGAAATAAACTTAGACCACTGTGGAAGCCCAGGAAAAAACATAAGTGCACCCTGGTATAGCAGAGGCTAAGTAGACAGGAGAGATTTCCTAAGGAGGGAGGGAATGACTGTTCTCAGTACTGAATGGACACCATGCAGAGGGGATAGCATAACCCAAAACCTAGAGATGGTTAAAAAAAAAGATAGCATTGTTACAATGTATAGAGTGTCAATGGACACTGTGAGAGAAAGGAGGTTGAGCGAGATCCCAATGAACTACAATGTCACTAAACCATTCTGTTAGAGAAATCATAAAGCAATAATTAACTCATTCTTGTGTCAATTAGGAGTATGATGATCAATAAAGCTACAGCATAAAGACAATGGGCATGATTTGCCTGTCTGGTCAGAGGAGCATCCAAGCAATCAATACCCTATTTTACTAAGCAGCCTTACAAAGTATACAGTATAAGCTCTCTCTAAGCAAGAAAAGAAAAATAAATCAAGATGCCATGCAATTAGCCCAAAAAATCTTGTTTCCAATATCCAACTATCATGCAGCTGCCCCTATATGGCAAGGATAAGCCATTTATTCCTTGCTGCAAGTTTCTACAATCTTTAAAGTCCCTTCTATCCGCTCCCTCCGGGACTCTAATTTTTCTCTCCATTTCTCTTTCTTCGCTATATGTAATGTTCCTGGTGCTGGAAACTTAATTTTCCTCTTAGGATCTTCTTTTGTTATTTCCTTCTCTTAGAGGTCCACAGTTTGTTTTTGAAGAGCATGATCGGACTAAGCAGTGCCATCCAGACGCCAGTCACTAACCCAGCTCCCAGAGTGAGGTTACCTCAGCATCACCCTCTAACACCACCATTGGAGTGATCTCAGAACATAGTTGTGCATGGAAGACAATACACTGTTACTGACAATGACCCTTCATTTTAGCACTGGTGGCTTCAAGGGGACAGGTGAACTCATTGAGCACTTTAGGAATAGTGCTGAAGCATAGTTTTTGACTTCTGGTTTGGATGAAGCAGGGTGAGAGCACAGTCTTGGTATAGTGGAAGGTAACTAGACTTGGAGATAAGATTGACCTTGGTCGGAATACCACTTGTATGTCTTATGATCTAAGTGACTTTGTGCATCCCACTGAATCACTGTGGGTCTGTGTGGTGTTCTGTGAGAAATGAGGACAACATAAACTTCTGTAGAGCGGGGAACAAGGCATGAGCTGGGTGTCTTTTTCTTTTCCCAGAGTACCACAGTCAAAGTCTTCAGGTCTCAGCAAAGGTGACCTGGCTTTGCAAACAGAGATGCCCAAAAGAGGACGATAACGTACTTTCTCCAAGAAAGAAATTGCGGAACAGAGTTACACAAGATTCTACAGCCATAGGGCCTTAGTGGTCTGGGAAATAAGGGCATTAGAGGAATTCTTGGTTGCTGGTGCTGACCCTTTTGTTTCTGGGGGCATAGCCTCTGTCAACCCAAACCTTTCTGTTTTTCTTATAATATGGCAATCTGTTACCTAGGGAGGCTGCAAAGTATTATTAATTTTAGGTGTCCACGGCTCTGCTCAGTAACACTTTGTGACAGTAGTTTCTTTTCAAAGAATAGCAGTTTAAAATTTCAGCATTTGCTGTACAGAGAGACACTCTGGGGTGGTAAAGCTGTAGGAGAGGAAGAGGAGCCTTGGAAAGCAGTGTCATCATTTAACAGCTTCACCTTCAAACTCAGCTTTTTAATAATACATCAAAAGGTGTTTTTAGCAAGCAAAGCAGACTTCATGGAATTAGCACAGAGAGGGCCCCAGGGTAGAAGAGATCCTAAAATGAGGCAATGGGGAACAACAAGAAGCTCTCTTGGTAAAGACTTGGTCAGGACCCTGCCAAAAACATGTCACAGAACTTGTTCATTTCCCTCTGTCCCTTCCTCTGCAAAATGAAGCTACTGAGTAGAAGGTTCTGCAAGCACTTCTGGCCTCACATTCATGGTTAGTGTTCTGATAAGAGATTAGGAGGCATTTCTTTTCATTTACATTCTATCTTTTTTTTTGGGGGGGGGGCGTTGTGGTTGTGGTGGTACAGGGGACTGAGGTAAAGGCCTTTGCCCTAAGCTATATCCACAGTCCTTTCTATAGGTGTTTTTTTTTTTTTTTTTTTTTTTTTTTTGATACAAGGCCTGATAAGTAGCTAAATTGCCCAAACTATTCTCCTGCCTCATCCTCACAGAGTTCTGGCATTACAGGTTACACACACCAGCATACCAGGCCATTCATAAATCTGATTGTATGATTTAAACCACATACGATTAGTTCACAGTGAAGGCTGAATCAATGGAAACTCTAGAAGAAACAAGAGAAAGGAAAGAGCAGATAGGACAGCAAGATTTCTGTCCATTTTGTACCATGACAAGTATTAAGTGTTCATTTGCATGGTAATAAATTATTCCTGCATATAAACTGTGAAGTGCATTTGAGAGAAAAGGTTTAATTAAAGTTGATATTTCTGCACTTCTTCCTACTGGCTGCCATTTTGCTGTAAAACACAATTATTTCTGATACTAAAGTGTTGAAACTAGATGACAACTTTTCCCTTGTATAAAATATTCAAGCTTCATACTAATGAATTTATGTGTTTCCCTATGACCAATAAGCAGCAAACCTCATCCTTTCTTAAAAAAAATAAATTGATCTATTTTTATTATGTTGGAATTAATAGTAATGCCAAGTTGCCTTTAAAAGCAATTAATCAGACTTATTTTAAGTGATTATAAAATGCATGCAATATAAGTTATTTTCATGATTAGTCTTAGTTTTCTGCAAGATAAATTTTAAGATTTTTGTTTATTCACTTTCAGAATGAAAATCTATTTAGCAAAATATTTTTTCTAAGAACTTGACAAATATTAACTCTTCTATTGATTTCTGTAAGAACTTTATAAATGAGTATCTTGGATCTTCTTGCTTTAAATAAAGAAACTTAGCCCTAGATCAATTAAGCAGCTTGTGCTAGGTGAGGCTTCAGTAATGGCAATATTCAAACTGGTGCTATCTGCTCTATAACTACTCTATCAACTATTCTAAACCAGTGAACAGACAATACCATTTTACGATAGTAGCTTGTTTCTGAAGTGCGTGAGGAAATGATATAGGCACAGTGATAAAAAGGGCAACCAACGGTGAGCTGCCTGAATGTGGGACATAAGTCATCACTGAAATTTAATGCATACCAATAATATGGCTATGATGAAAATATTAGTAATGGCATTTATCAGATATTATCTGTCTAATATTTTTGTAAGGGCTTTCCATGAGATGAGTCAATTTATCATTACAATACCCCCCCCCAATGGTGGTACTGTTATTTCCACTATACAGGAAAACAGTTTGTGGTGTACCAAAATTAGGTAACTTGCCCAAAGTTAAAGAGCCCAGCAAGTGAAGTAGCTAAGACTGAGTCTTCATGCTGGATTCTGGTTCTGTATTTCTGTCTCTGAAATTCTACTCAGTATTGCCTTCCTAAAAGAGGGTAGAAGATATCTTTCATGATAATTTAAGTTTTACCATGTGATGGGGGAGTGATCCACCTGCCAAATTATTAAGCTAACTAGAAAGAGAAAACATTTCATAGTAATGGCCAAAGCAAAGATTAACAATTCACAGTCCACCAACAATACAGTAAAACCATGTTTTCATCTATATATTTTATGGAAGTCAATCTTTGTATTTTATTGTCAAATCCCTATTTCAGAATTTCTAATTTTATAGGTTAAAATGATGTATTCAAGGAGCTTTTCTTCACTTTTGTTTTAAAAAAAATAGTTCTAGGATTTAGAGAACAGATTGCTGTGCTCAGGGCTAGAGGTTTTGCAGGAATCACACATGAAAATTAATGAGAGACTGCCCTCCTAAGAAGACCTTGATGTTGGTAATAATTGGGGAAATATATCAATTTTAATTAGTTTTAATAAAGATCCCCAAGGTAGTTCTTCCACAATTCTCCATTACAGCACTTTCCAGCAGTATGCCAAGATGCCTAAGTATTTAGATTCTACTGAAACGTATATGAGTACTTTATTTTATGATAGGAGCACATTGCCAAGAGGGAAAAATAAATGTTGTTGAAAGTCACAGGAGTAATAACATGACAGGAAAATGGATTTGCAAACCCACCAGCTCTACATGGAAGGCTCACCTCTCTATCTTGAGAGCAGATAGCCTGTCATAGGCTACTGTGCCTTGAGAATAAAACTTTCTTGCTACACCTGTCTTTGTCTCTGTGAAAGAAAATTACAAATACGGGTGTTTAAGTATAATTGGACTCCTGCTGAAAATTGTTGTTGGGTAGAGACAGAAAGACAAAAGCACTTAGCAAAAAGCAAGCAGATTTGATTTTTCAGCTTTCTTCTCCCTGCAGAGTTAGAAGGATCAGACAGACTGACCCATTCTTTTTATTTCCAGGTAGCTAATTTACAGCTAAAGACAAGTTATCATTACATTAAGAATATGACACAGGCCCACACCAGAACTCAAAATCCTATTCTGTATCTGTGATGTGCCTTTGTTGGTGAGCTCAGGGACTCTGGTCTTCCCTACAGCCAACACAACTTTGTAACCAATTGGATTCTATTATGCAAATTTATTCAAGTGTATTTTATTCCCATTCAGATCTCATCACTCAGCACTGAGCTGGTTTCCCATTTCAAGTCAAATCACAGAAATTAT